GTTATGAGCATTGCTTTTATCTCTTAGTAAAATCTCCAGTGCCAATGGGTGGTCCTTGTGTTGCGTCTGTAAGCGAAAAAAATGGCGGCATGTTTCAATTGTTCTCATGACTGGAAAGGGTGGTTGTCGAGTCTCTGCTATGACAAGGCTGCTGGAAGTCGCTCGTGGAACACCTATGCAGACGCGCAGTCCCCTAGCTAATAGTCTTTGAAGTCGCTCCTCTGAAGTTCGGGAAAGGCCGTGTAAGACTGCTGCAGAATATGCAACTTTTTGTCGTATTAAAGCATTGTGAACAGCGAGCATGGATGATACAGATCCGCCCCATGATGTCCCAGCAATTCTGCGGAGTATATTCACTAGCGTATTCACCTCGTTTTCGAGTTTCTTTATGTGAGGTGCCCATGTTAGCTGCCTATCAAGTATTACTCCGAGAAACCAATGCTGTGTTACAATCATTCGTGGTTCTCCTTCTAAATTGAGATTAAAGTTCTTTAACTTCTTACGGGTGAAGGGCAATACAGCTATCTTTGCGTGCGATAGAATCATTCCTCTTTCTTTTAAAAAGTTGTTGATAATATTTATTTCGTCTTGCAATGCAATCTGAATTAACCGTATGTCCGTGCCAGATGCCCAACTGCACACATCATCTGCATATAAGGAGTATTTCAACCTGGAAGGCAGTCTTTTAGCTAAATCAGCCATAACACAGTTGAAAAGAAAAAGGGCTGAGTACGCTTCCTTGTGGCACTCTCTGTCTGACGTCGTGATCTGCACTTTTTCCTTTGCTCGTCTGAATGAATATTTTGCGACCTGATAAAAATTTGGATGCCCACCGCAAAGACTTGCCGGACAGTCCGAGTTCCAACATACTCAGCAGTACATGAGTGTGACTGACTGTGTCAAATGCCCTTTTGATGTCCAAGAACACTGTGACCGTCAAACTACCACAGGCGCATTCATGCTCCACATACGTTTCTAAGTCCAGTATTGCATCCATTGTGCATCTCTGTTTCCTAAAACCTGTTAAGTAGTTGGAAAATACACCAGTTCTGTTGCACCATCATTGAAGTCGCGCATCAATCATTTTTTCCATTACCTTACATAGACAGCTTGTCAGACTGGTTTTACGGAAGGATTCAAGGTTCAAAGGCGTTTTAGCCGGTTTTAAGATCGGAATGATGCGAGCAGGCTTCCAAGACTCGGGTACAATTTCTTGCATCCATAGATTATTGTAAATATCTAAGAGAATAGTTGTGCCTGTGGGCCCAAGGTTATTTAGCATATGTACGTAATGCCGTCCGGTCCAGAGGCCGATTTTCGACGACATGATGCTATAGCACAATGCAGCTCCCTTAAAGTAAATACAGGGTCTAGTTGAGGATGCTGGGCCCAAAAGCAAGCATTAATTTTCTGGCTGGCTAACGCGACAGAATTATCTCATAAATAAGGCACATTGTGATGCGGCGGGCCTACTGATAAGTTGACAAAATTCATCTGCTACCACAGCTTGCGGTTTGTCCAAGGCTACAGCAAGAGCACGAAATGGGAAGCTCTGTGATACAGGGCCACTAAGTGCTCGAATTACAAGCCAAATTCTTGGAACAGGTGTGTGGGGAGAGAGCGTGCCACAAAAATCACGCTAGCGTCGTTTACCTAAATTTTCTAGCCGTCTGCATGCATATACATATATATATATATATATATATATATATATATATATATATATATATATATATATATATATATATATATATATATATATATATATATATATATATATATGTGTGTGTGTGTGTGTGTGTGTGTGTATAGGCGCCAGTAGATATCTCTGTTATTGCTAAGGCAAGAAAAGGAGGGGGAGGGGTCGCAGCAGCTGCTAGTGAAGGCATGCCCCCCCGCCCCCTTCCCCCCCCCCTGGTCCGAAGCCCCTGGTGTCGGCACACAGTGAGGGAGCACTGGTGGTGTCGGAGCTGTCGACTATTATTATATAGTCTCTACACTGATAGTCTCTACACCGACGTAGTTATGATGGCTCACTTCGTTCGCACTTACGGCTTGTCATTTCAGACGTTATACAGTGACACCAGTTACCACATTTTATACAATTATACCAGTTTAAAAAAGGACAATAACACTGCGCACATGCATTATCGCAGCGAAGTCTGCATATGAAATGGAGTGCATTTTAGGGGACCGCGTCTCGCGCTGACGTCACGCAGGTCCCACGTTTGACACTGCGCATTTGGAGCGACAGCGAACGCTTGCCCGAGAACGCCGCCGTCGCCTGGCGAAATCAGTGATGATGATTAAAGGCCTCCCCTTTGAATCGGGGTGACGGCATGCGCCATCTAGCCTACCTTAATAGTTCGAGTTTAAATTTTGTCCCTCAACTCGGATATCTTTTTAATTTTGCCCAGCTGCTACTCTTGGCTGGGATGTTATTTTATCGACTTCTCTGCTTTTCCAGTGAAGTAGAAGTGAAACGCCACCGTCGGGAGTTTGGCGCACCACACTTGGAGGAGCGACCAGTAGAACAACTGTATAACGTCGATTGTAAATCAGAAAACAGATAGTCGCGAAAGAAATCAGATCAGCACAAGAAAAGAACACCAAAGGATGTGTAAAAACACCTTATCACAGGAACAGAAAATAACAGATAAACACTAGAAAAGAACATGAAAAGAGCATACGAACACAGGATGCGAACAAGGGAAAAACGGGTGGATGAATCCCACACAGCTTGCACAGCTTTCACTTGGGGTGGAACTGGCTTTGATTTTCTTTTTAACTGCTATAGTTGGCAAAGTGACAAACGTTTTGAAACAGGAAGAGCGCAGTTTAGGTAAATCAAAGTATACTAATTAATTATTCCCGGACATAACGCTAACGCAACGCTTACAGATCAAGCTAACTGCGGGGAACTATATGCACGCTGGGAAATAAGCGCGCTCCGACTACCCTGGCGGCTTTCTCGACGGGCGATCATTCCCGGCGAGCGGACTTGGCGCCGCGCTGATGAGCGTCGTAATTAGGGCGGCAGCTTTCGCCAGCGCTGCCTGCCCGCTTGACACGCGCACATTCACACGCGTAAACGACGACGTCTGGCTCGCTCGTGCGTCCACGTCGAACTACCGGGCGACGCCCCAAGTTGAGAAGTATCATCCGACACAGGCGAGGCGATGTCTGCTGACAAAAAGAAGCAGGAATGATGGATCGCACAATTCAGAAAACGAATTTGGAACAATTATGAAGATAAGACCACAGACGATACTGCAACTTACATTCAGACAAAACGCTAGCTTCAGTATGTATACATATATTGTAGTGAATCAACCTTCCATTCTCGACCCGCCATGGCAGATTAAGACGTCGTCGACAGATATGTGCGCCGCATACATCACTTCATCTACATTTCGCGGAAGTTGCAGCGTCGCCGCTGCTAAGTCGCGAGTTCGATTCCAGTCATGGCGGCCGCATTTCGATGGAGGCGAAATGCTGGAGGTCAAGGCCAAACCTCATAAGCGCGAAAATGCACGCGACAGCGACAAGCGACGCGACGTAGATCGGCTTCGCGCGATCAGTCGCTATAGCGCAGGCAGACCTCATTCACGCGACGGCTTCAGCGAGCGAATTCCACTGTTGCTGGCATGAGGCCGTCTACTCGCACCAAGAAAACCGCGTAGCGAGCGATATGCAATATAAAAATAAGATATCTTGTTGTGTAATGAAACGGAAAGTGTTTATTATTGCCTTGCAGCACTTTTTATATGCACATGCGTAATAAACATTGCGTTATTTCTTGTTGCGCATACGTGACTAGGGCAGGGTCACGTGCACCTAAATGTAGTCTTTGTCTTTTCCGGTTTTTCGCTATTGGCTGCTTGAGCCCAGCACTTCCGGGCGATGAGCGATGGTTTCCAAATCTGGAGAACCGAGCGATCGCGCGAAAACGAGCACGCGACACGTCGCGCGAACGCCCTGTTTCCTCGCTCATAGCGTCGCTCGTCGCTTTCGCGTGCATTTTCGCGCTTATGAGGTTTGGCCCTCGGTGCACTGTGCGATCTTAGTGCACGTGAAGCCATAACCGCACGTATACGCGCGTCAGCGCGTGGCGTGCCCTTTCGCTATGCTACGTGACGTGGCGCTGAATCGCGCGCACGCGCTGTAACGCGTACATACAGTTAGGCCTTTAAAAGATACCAGTTGAACAGCGTGGGCTTTTCTTTCAGGGGGCGCCGCCCCCCTCTCTATTAGGTCAATGTAAGGGCATAGCTATGGCGCAGAATTTTGCACCCACCTCTCAAGCTACTAACGAAAGCGGCCGCCCCCTTGCCCCCCCTAACCCCCCCCCCCCCCACGCTTCTGTGCGCGTTCTTGTGAGATGGGCAACGAATTTCCGGAGCCCTCCTCTGTACTGCGTGTCTCATAAATCGTGGTTTGGCACGCGAAACTCCGTATATTATTTAGACGTTGCCGAAACATGAGACTTGCGCAGCGCTTCAGTTCGGTACTATCACGGGAGATGGTTGGGCAGCCCGCCGTGGTTGGTCTATAGTGGCTAAGGTACTCGGCTGCAGCTACCCCGCAGGTCGCGGGTCGAATCCCGGCTGCGGCGGCTGCATTTTCGATGGAGGCGAAAATTCTGTAGGCCCGTGGGCTCAGATTCGAATGCAAAAGAACCCCAGGTGGTTGAAATTTCCGGAGCCATCCACTAAGGCACCACGGCGTATCTCACATTCATATGGTGGTTTTGGCACGTTAAACCACATATATCAATCAAGCTAGTTTGGCGTTATGTACGCAGTGGTATTGAGGACGAGGTTCCTCTGTGGTTGCTTGTCTCGGATGTTTGACGAGAATCGAGGCTGCCCGCTTGCACCACGCGAAATATGCTCGGGACTTCCTCCGTGCATCCTGGCGCCCAAATCTCGAGATCTGCGGTGTGGAGATAAGACGTGCTGTAAAAGGAGGAGCGCGCAATCTCTGCGCATTCTCGGCATTCTGCGGCTGGGCTCGCCGACGAAAGGTCCAGACGCTCGCAGGAACGCGTTCGTGTCAAGTGCCTTGACTGCGTATGCAGGTGAGTGCGGGTGATTGTGTCGATGACCGATGGCGAAAGACATATGCTTCACGCCTGAACAATGATCGCAAGGCATACAGTAGGATGAAAGCGGTAGAAAAGAAGTGTATATACATAAAGATTGGCAAGAAACTGAAAGCAGTCAACGTGCATATCAGGAGGGGGCAGCGTGTCTCGCCGTAGGATAAACAATGCTCTTTCCCGGAGCATCCGCGATATCTGTGCTATAGCCGGTTGCCGAACACAGGCTTCGTGGTGTTCCCATATGTGAACTTCTGTGCAATAGTGGAAGAATCCCAGATGCGTTAACGTAATCCACTATAATAATAATAATAATAATAATAATAATAATAATAATAATAATAATAATAATAATAATAATAATAATAATAATAATATAGGGGTTTTACGCCCCAAAACCACGATAAGATTATGAGAGACGCTGTAGTGGAGGGCTTTTCAAATTACGACCATCCAGTGTTCTTTAACGTGCGCTAACTAACATCGCACAGTAGACGGGCCACTGTCATTTCGCCAAACTCGCGACCTTCGCCGTCAGCAGCCGACCATCGCGTCTCTCATAATCATAGAGTGGTTTTGGGACGTTAAACCCCACATATCAATCAAGCAGCCGACCATCGTAGCCACTGTTCCGCCGAGGCAAACAGCAAACACTTTTCAGCTCCTCCTTTATCATTCATGGTACGCGAGTTTAGTAAATACTGGATTCAAAGCGCCTGAAAATTTTAGCTGCTGCAGATAATAAACCTAAACGATGGCTCCCGTGTGACAACAATTCAGTATCGAGCGGATACCATATTGATCGAATTTTCAACAGAATCATCACTGGATCATATTTTCAGCGGATTATCACTTCTCAGCGGAATCATCACTGGATCGAAACTGGAGCGTGCTTTAAAATTTCTTTGGCCACACCCATGCAGGGTGCAAATGCGCACGGCGTATGACACAAAAGAACGCACAAATGTTTGCAAAGCGCAATATGTATACAAGAGATGTGTAAGCATGCCGCAGGACGTCGGGCTTTGGTGCTCAGCTTGTCGCCGCGGTGGTACAATGGTGACGGTGCTCGGCCGCTGACCCGAAAGACGCGGGTTCGAATCCCGGCCATGAAGATCGCGTTTCGATTCAGCCGAAGTGTTAGATGCCCGTATACATAGTGTAGCTGCCCCAGGTGGTCGAAATCCCCGGAGCCTTTCACTACTGCGTGCCTCATAATTATATGATGATTTCTAACGCAATACCCCAGAAAATATTATTATTATTATTATTATTATTATTATTATTATTATTATTATTATTATTATTATTATTATTATTATTATTATTATTATTATTATTATTATTATTATTATTATTATTATTATTATTATTATTAAAAGCTGAATCCGATATTCATGATAATGGTTGAAAACAGGCCTTTATACTATTCATACGCCCTATATGACAGCGCCTCGCTTCGCTGAGATATAAATGCAAACATAAATGACTCCTGGCGAAGTCAATGACAGTTAGACCAACCAATCCATACATACGAACAACAAGCGGATCGAGTTCTTCCGTTCCTCTTCGGAGATCGCCGCTTTAGCTGGTCGTTTTAGCAGCACAGACGAATGCAGTAAATTGAAAGAGAAATAACCGAGTTGCTTTTGAAAGCAATGTGTAGTAGCACAACAAAAACCGTATGGCAGGGCGAACCGAAATGACAGCGATGCTTGGCACTGCTTTTACCACTCGCAAGATAGTCATACACGTTGCTGTAATTCCCTTCTATCTGGTCTATTCTTGGCGAAAAGGTAAAAAAAAAGAAATGGTGCCGTACAGTTTGGCAGTATACTCCTACACGACGCCAGGGGTCCTCTCGAAGCTTCGACTCTCAAAAGCTCTTCTGGTTTGCCGACATAAAGCGTCCAAGCTTTCCTACAGACCGAGCCATTTTGCGGGAGTGGTAGAAGACGCTAACTTGGAGGAAAGCGCAAATCCAGACAGAGCAAGACAGAGAAGACATCAAAGGAGAAAAAAAAAAGACTAGCAAGCTGTGGCGCTTACATACAGCTCTTACGTATCCGTGCCTCGGTTTAAGAACCCATTCCGGCAACGAAACATCGAAGCGGTCTCTCTTTTAGTAATTTATTTTTTGTCTTTTCTCTGGCTTGGTGTGTCTCTTTTCGCTGAAAGAATTTCGTTGCCAGTGTTGGTGTTCGTTCTTACGGGAATGTCACAGGTGCACTTACGGGAATGTAAGCAACAGAAAACGCCACGCCGTATGTTGCAGTGTGCGCCAAAGTACCGTTAGTCTCGCGGAACATCGCGAGAGGCGATTGCACACAGATAAGAAAGAAACAAGGAGAGAGAGGAATGTCGTCGAGAGGCTATCTCCGGTCGAATATGGTAAACTCGGGATGAGAAAGCGATTACAGAAAAAGAAAGACAATATTGAACAATAAAACTCGGTTGGTTTTCGGGACGCAATCACGCGGTAAATGATGGAGCCACGTTTAGTCACACACGCAATGTTGGTGACTTCCACCACAAAGTAGTGAACTCATATAATGACTCTAAGGCTGAATCGACAAACCTTTCCATTGGACAAGTGTCATTCGCCATGAGTGATCGACTTCAGTGTGACTCAACGACCTACCTAAGGTAACTTGTGACTGGACTCCCTCGTTCTCACGAACAACTACACCGTGCAAAAAACTCAAGCCTCGGATACTCATTTTAAATGCGAAGTATCTTATGGTCGAGCTCAAGCCGGTGTGCAGCGTGGCCACTCTTACTGCGCATGCGCGTCCCCTCTCTCTCCTCTCTTATGCTCTCCCTCTCTTTCGAACGTATCATCTCCCTGCGGCGTTCACACCCTCATTGCGCATGTGCGCCCTCTCCCTTTCCTCTCCCATGCTACCCCGCTTCTCGCCTCGCAACACCGATGCAGACTTTCGCTGCCCTCTCTCTCTCTCCTAAACATCCCTCTCTTTCCGCGGCGTTTACACGCTCATTGCTAATGCCTCCTATATATGGGCACAGGATTTTGACTTCCAAGGTAATGCCGGTAAGACATTTCTACTGCGCGTTGTTGAACAACAAAAAAAAGTTAGTGGTGTGCGCGTTAGCTTAAAACCAAACTGCGGGTCCCTGTGTCCAATCGAAGTGTTCTCTCTATCATTACCCATTTGCAGCGATTGGCATGTTCCAGTAGGAAACATCGGTCCATCGCTGCGTGCAGTGCGCCGCCCCAGGTTTCTCTCCTGCACAACGCCACGGCTATTATAAACGTCAGCGCCCGCTGCTTCGCATCTGCACACTGTTCCCTTTAGCGAGAGATGGTGTGATTTTTCCAAATACGGACCGAAGCCTTCCAAGTCGTCAGTAGGCGACAATGCTTCCTGTTAAGACGAAGGCCTGGGATACTCATTTTAAATGCGAAGTATCTTATGGGCGAGCTCAAGCTGCCTCATCAAACTCGGAAATCGACAAGCGCCCTTCATCGATGCCGTAAACACAAGTGATACAAATAAAATCATCACACCATGACGTCACCGTATAACGTCATTATGACGTCACGGATAGTCCGATTTCGTGACTTCGTCAAACCATCTTGACGTCAGAAATTCTTGTGACGGTGCACGTTCAAGGGGAAAGAGAGGGACTGAAAAACCCAGGGCTTTCGAATACATGTCAGGCGGCGAGGCCGCAGTCGCAGAATTTAGCCCCGCAAGGACCGGGGGAAAAGGTAAAATCCGAAAGGGGGAGGGGGGAGGGCAGGGTGTTTGCACACATTGTCAGCAATCCGTACCATTGAAGAGAAAGCATTTTTCATATTTCAAATACGGGTCGTTTATGAAGAAGATTTGGGGCCATGCCATGATCACATCCAGCAACGTGTCGATACCGATCTCCAAAACGTTACAGTAAATTATGGACGCCGATATTGAGATACTGTTCTTGGTTACCCTTCGACACATGGTGGCCGCATGGGGTGCTTCACGAGAACTTGCTTTAGGCCAGTCATGCCTGTGTAGCTCACGCACATAGCTTAATCATGAAAATGATAAAGTAGTTTGTGGGTGAAGACAGTCATGTGCCGACCGTGGGCCGCATGCGGGAAGATCGCGGCCGCATGTTTGAAACCCCTGCCGTAAACGTTAGAAGATCAAAAGTTGGAGATTCGAAAGTATCGAGAATGTCTCCCTAATAAAAGAAATAGACGCAAGCCAGTACCAGCGAATTAACACCTTCGAACAATGCGGTACAAACAATTTCAGTATATATACGGCCGCCAGCCACTAATAAAATTACTTTCCTAATGGCCGCACCTCAGAACGACACTTGGCAGTCGTAATCGATGACTTACGTATCCGGTCAAAAAGTGTCGACCTTCAAGTTCAAACTGCAGCCTACGTACTTCCCGCGTTGGGCATTCTGCCATTGTTCGAGATAGCTGCTCGTCACTTCATATTTACGATTGTTATAGCGTGAGCTCAGAACGATGACAATAGGACAAAAAGACGAGGGATATAGCAATCGTTATGACCTTCTATAACTAGCCCAAACCGCTACACTTCTAAGTTAGTATTTACACTGCATTCGCCTTAGCTAAGTATAAACTAAAGAAGCAACTAGCCAAAGATTCCCGCAGTGCTATATCCTTGGCCAATGAAGCGAGCATCAACTTTGCCCCGCCGCTGCTGACCCGCAGGTCGCGGGTTCGAATCCCGGCTGCGGCGGCTGCATTTTCACTGGAGGCGAAAGTGATGTAGGCCCGTGTGCTCACATTTGGGCGTACGTTAAAGAACCCCAGGTGGTCGAAATTTTCGGAGCCCTCCACTACGGTGTCTGTCATAATCATATGGTGGTTTTGGGACGTTACATCCCACATATCACCATCAACTGTCACGAACGTAAATAACGATGCTATTCAAAGCACGTGGCAAAGATTAACGAAACAGAAAAAAACAAAGAATAACCCGACAGAAACA